GGTGGGATCATGTGAGTGAGTGAGTGTGTGAGTGTGTGTGAGTGTGAGTGTGTGAGTGTGTGAGTGAGTGTGAGTGAGTGTGTGAGTGTGTAAGTGAGTGAGTGTGTGTGAGTGTGTGTTGTCAATGTCTGTGGCTTCAGATGGGTGGAGAGCACAGGGAGCATGAATGGGATGGGTTGGGAGCAGCAGGCAGACACACATCATGTGTGTCTTCCAAATGCAATCAATGCCATTTCAAGGCAGACATGTGCTAAGTAAGCACCTAAAGAACCCTGGCAGGAAGGCCCCATCCTCTGGAGCACTCCAGTCCTAATATGGAGGAACACAGCAACCATCCTCCATCTGTTTCCCTTTGTCCTCCCCACTGGAACCCCTCCCCCAACCCAGAGGGCTTACTCAGTGACAAAGTCAGACTATGATGAGATTTTTCAAACTGGAGTTGATGTGTGTAGAGGATGACCTCTTCTTCAAAGGTAAAGCACTTGTATTGTGCCTGGCTTTTGAGACTTTTCTGCTGGGATCACACACACAAATATTAGCAGGAGGCTGCCCTTCTTGTTCTCTTTCTTTCCCTCTGCCTGATTTCAACTCCTGTCAAGTCTCCTTAAATTGATCTGCTCACTGGAGAAGCCACCTAGGGCGAACTCCTGGGTTCCCTCCTGGGAGGACTGTTTGTAGCATTTAATCACAGAGGGTAGCCCCATAGGGGAGTCTCAGCCTTCATCCCTCAGCATTTCTGTGCCCCACTTCTGCAGGGTGGCTCCTCTTGGGATTTGCTCCTCCCTGTCCACTTAGGAGGAAGGAGACAATCTCACAGTCCAAGTGGCAGCTTCCCTTAAACAGGTATTTTCCCTAGGGTCTCCAGCTGTGGGCACTGTCAATGTGTGTTTATGGGTTGCTCTTTCTCCTCGGTCAACCCGGAGCTAAGATCATTGCCAGCAGGGGTGGTCCAGCTGCTGGGTAAACCCAGTACGGTGAGGATTCGGGAAGCGGAAGGTTGGAGCCGACAGCTGATCTGTGATTGTGGGGTGCAGGTGACTTCTCTGGAGGATGTTCCCTAGACACTGGTGGGGAGCTGAGCAACTCAAGGCCTGAAGATGTAGCACACTCTACAAGGTCACAAAAGGCATGTTTGCACACACTGAGGGTGGAACCAACCAGCACAAGAACTGAGAGAGCTGGGAAAAATGGAGAAGACAAAGCTTTGTGGGCTTGGTCAGCAAAGCATCTCATGCAGGTTTATGGATGCAGCCAGTCCAGTGATCTGTGTAACCGGGTGGGGAGGAGGGCCAGCCTTGTCACTGAGACAAGCAAATGCTGGCATTTGCTGAGAGTAGTTGTTATAGGGAAAGGTAACATGAGAAGCAAGAAAATCACACCATGCAACATAACATTGCATTGCGCCCATGACTCACACTTAGCACAGAGCAACGTTCACAGGACCCTTGGAGATGTGGCACTTCCTGGCTAATCATGCTGAGGTCCTTCAGGACCCCTGGCTGGTGTCTCTGCTTCTGGTTTGCTCCCTTCCCACCCCCAAGCTCCCTTCTCCTCACTACAAATCTGCCCTGAGAGTTCTTGCTAGAAGATTTCCTACAGACCTCTATGGAACGAGGATGAGACCAAAATCAGTGCTAACCCCAGGCTCCTGGAGCTGTGCTCCACCACAATCCTGGTGATCAAGACATGCTATGAGCAGTGGTTCCTGCTGGGCACGCTCAAAGGTTCTGTCTTAGCTGGCATCAATGAGGCCTGAAGATTGGTGTTTGTGGTGGATTTTTAAAGCCATCCAGGTGATTTTAATAAATTTAGCCAGGGTTGAAAACCACTGTGCTCGCCCAGAGGTTCTCGAGCTTGGCTGCACTTTGGAATCATGCCATGTTAGAAAATACTGATCTTGGGTCTCAGCCCCAGAGATTTTTGGCTTGGTTGACCTTCAATGCAGCCTGGCTATCAGGACTTTTAAAAGCATCTCAGCTGACTGAGCCATGTCTGAGCACCACTGCTCTGGCTGACCGGTTGTATTTGTGGTTCTGTTGACATCAATGTATATATTCTAGCAGCTTTACTGACTGCATCTGTTGCTTCAAAATCCCTCCTTCTCTGCCACATAAGTTACCATATTCTCCCTTCCGTACGTCAGGGCAGAGGTAATACAGCAGAAATCAGCAGGCTTTTCTATAAAAGTTTGGATAAAAAATATAGTAGGCTTTTCTGGCCTCATGTGGTCTCTGCCATAGATTCTTTCCTCCCCTATTAAGATATAAAAGCCATTCTTTGTTCATGGGTCACACAAAATGGGCCACAGGCCAATCTGAGCAGTGGAGTATACAGTTGTATGTTTTTGAGGTGGTAAGTTCCCCACCAGTCAAAGCAATCAAGTCATGGAGGAGTTCCTGGCAGGAAAAAGTAGCTGGGACTTAAACTCCAATGACTACACTAGAAAAGCTATGATCTTTCCCAAAGGTGGGATAGCTTAATTCTAATTCATTCCAGACGCCTGGATGTTTTCCTCATTGGCCAAGTGATCTCTGAGGTCCCTGCAGCTCCCAATTGTTCCTCTGTTCCCTTTTGCCTCAGTTCCTTGTGACACTTTGCTTGTGTTGGTTCCACCTTCATGTTAACACCAAGTGCTCTGATTTAGGTGTCTGACTTTAAGAGACAAAGACCAAAGACTGCCTCTGACTTCTGAGTTGAGATAGTGCCGAAGCAGGGGAGGCTGGAAACTGAAAACCAACACGCTTTCAACTCATCCTTGGCCAAGGAGATGAGACAGATATAAATGGCAAAATTCGATCTTCCCATGTAGACAACAGCCAACAATTAATGGTGATAAAGAGGAACCCCATTCTGGGAAGATCAAAATAGACGCTTCCTCTTCTTACCCAGAATTCTCTGTGTAGGCCAGTTTGCCTCTAAATAGTTTTTAACCTTGCAAGTCAATCTCAAAATGGGATAATTCCACTCCAGTTTAAAAAGCATGGTCCAGATACAAATACAGCTAAGATAATAGGTCCTAGAACAAGATGGTAAATATTCCAATCTTGCACTGACCTCTTAACTGTGTGACCTAGGGATAATTATTATTATAATTTTTTTGAGTGATACTGGGGTTTGAACTCAGGACCTCACAATTGCTAGGCAGGTATTTTACCACCTGAGCTTCGCCCCAGCCCTTTTAGTTTTCCAGTCTCTGATCTCCTCCTGAGTAGCTGAGATTACAAATGTGAGCCACCCTGCCTGGCCCAAGATAAATTATTTAATCAATATGAATTTTGCTTTTTCACACACAAAATGGGAATAAGACAAGCCTGGGAAAGAAGGTTTTAGCAGCGTATCTAGAACCCCTGGGATTGGCAGAAAATGAACCATTCTGCACACAAACTTGCCAGAAGTTTGGACCATTACCAAATGGCAAGTGATGGTCCTTGCTAACAGAAAGGTAAGAGCATTTTTCTGTGTAGTGCCATTAGTGGACTGCACCTGGTCTGCGTAGGGTGGATGCATAGCTGTGGAATATGCATATACTGACTGGAATATGTCAGTATCAGCTATGCAATTATCAGACTGTGAAGTGGTTAAAATGCTTCCTTCTGTAAGTGACAGAGTGTCACCTGCATGTCCCTTCTAGAGACCTAGCATGCTGATCTGGACCAGAGTGCATCCACAGATGGCAAGGAAGACCTGGGGAGCTGACTCGAAGGCTTCATCCCACACCTGTATCCTGTGATTATTCATAGTTTCATTCTGAGCGATTTTCATTTGACAGTCTGACTCTGTGCTATCTTATATCCACACAGTATTTCTGTGAGAATTGAAGCACATAGAACAGGGTCTGGTATACAGTAAGTGCACAAAAAATGTTCATTTTCCACAACTTGAATCCACAGGCAGCTGAAACCCGTGCTCATGTCCAAGGTCCTGCTGGTTTGCTGCCCCTGCCTGGGAGGCACCTTCTTTTCCCTCCAGCCCGTCTCTCTCAGCATGGAGTGGGCATGTGCAAAGGGGTGTGCCCAATATCCCCTTCCGTGTCATGCACGGCCCACTGTGCCATCTCAATAACACCTTCTCCCTCCCAGAGGGGACACATGCCTTTCCTCTGCCACAACTTGATGACCCATGAAAACCAGCAATGCAAATAGAGACGGATGTTTTGATAGAAGCTTCATCTTTTCATCAACATAGAAACCAAACTAAGAAGAACTCCACACGTTGTCTCATGGAGAGAGTGCATCACCGTGTCAGACCCAGCCCTGAACCCACCAGCTGAGCCCCAGGTGGTGGTCCATGCTGGCTGCAGACTCAGGTCAGGGAATGGCATGGCTCTCAATTTCACTTCATTTTACAGATGGGGAAATTGAGGCTCAATAGAGAAAAAGACTTTCCCAATGATTCATGCCTAGGAAATGCCAGAGCTGGGGATAACAGTGAAAGCTGGTAAAGTGAGGCTCTGAACACACTGTGCTCCACACTCACACAGGTGCCATGTAAGGTGGTGGTGGGGGGGTGGTTGAACAGCTCCATCACCTCCTCATGCTGCATGTCTCCTTCCATCTCTGCCTCCTCTAGAACTGCCAGGAGCCATAAACAAGCTAGCACCCATCAGATTTTTAGAGAGCACAGCACACATCCTAGATGTCGTCTGCGTTCTGTCTGCCACACTAACTTGTGACTCCTCTGGGCCACGGACTGTGCTTGGTTATCTTTGAGTCATCACAAACTAGGCTCAGTTCTGGCTCACAGCACTCCCAACATTGGTTGTTCCTGTGTTATGTTTAATTATACACTCATCTTTGGATTAGCATGTTACCAGGCACCCATGGTGAATGAAGGCAGAACACTGCATTTAAGTAGGGCCAAAGAGTGGGCAAGGGGTATATGCATTCCTCATCATGATTTGCTTCTCTCTGGGCCCCAGGCTCCCATATTACAAGGAGGGCCCCACCACTTGGTCATGCCATAGCCCCTGGGCTAGACACAAGGACAGGAGGGTGCCTTACCTGGCCCGCTGCAGAAGGAGGCTATGATGGCCAGGATGCACACGATGCTGAGGTAAGGGACCCAAGGGGCACGGTCCTGTGGGAGAATGGAGATATGGATAGGTGAGGAGGCTGCTGTGTGTCCAGATGACCTCGATTCCCATCCTGGCTCCTCCTTAGTGCATCTGTGTGACCTTTGACAGGTCACTTTAAGTCCTTGGTCCCAGTTTCAGTCTCCATAACAGGAAAAATGATAACCACTCAGTCATTCCACCCACTGAGTTCAGATGTGAGGATGCAGGGAGATAACGCCCACAGAGTTTAGCACAGTCCCTGGCATTCAGGAATTGATAAATAAGTGCCTAACTCATAGTGAAAAAAATCATAGAATTTTTTTCAGTCATTATCCTACTCAGATTTTACTTAGTTACCACTCTTATTATGTGAGGCACCACAGTTACATCCCTGCCCTATATACTGTGAGATGAGTTAATTCATCTCATGGAGTATATCTGGGGGCTGTCACTTAGCTGACAGGAGTGGGGCAGTGAAGGACGGGGGGTGGGCAAGCAGAGACAGCTACCAAACCCTGTGAAGTGAGGCTTAGATGGAGTGGCTCCAGACAGTCCTTTCAGATAGCTGACATAACAGCAGAAAGACACTGCCACTGAACATCACCCAAGGGGCTGTCCAGAACCTCTAAGGTCCAAGGAGACCACAAAGCCACCCCTGCTGAGGATGAGAGGGGGCCTGACCATTGGGAAAGAGCCATCTCTGCAAGCACACTACTTCTGATGCAGGTATTTCTACCTCATACTGACCAGCGAGCTCCCAAGCTCCTCCTCTCTGAAGGCAAGCTACCGTCCTCAGACAGCACCATGCTACCATTGCCTTTTTCTGGAAACGTTTGGAAGATTAGACATTTGGCAAAGGGTCAACGTGCACAACTTTTAATCCCAAGATTCATGTTTGAAAAATGCCAAGATTCATCAATTAATCCAACACTCCTACTAAGTGCTCAGTTCATGCAGGTTGCCTGTGTAGGGGTTGGGGAGGAAAGATGTGGGGTTTGGAACCCGCAGGCCCTGGGATCTAATCCTGGATCTGCCTTTGTCCAGCTGTGTAATCTTGGACAGCTTACTTGTTTATATTTATGCCTAAGACTGCTCATTTCTATAAAAGTAGAAAAGAGCAATTTTGCAAGGATGGAGACTATCACTGCCTCTCCTCCCAAACCAACTCACACTCATGAGCACTTGTTCCAAGTGCCCTTTCCTTGTTCAATCCTCACAGTAACCCAGGCTATGGAGACTACTGTCTCATTTTAGAGATGGGAACCCAAAGGAGCAGACAAGATCCCATTTTAGAGATGGGACCTCAAAGGAGCAGACAACCATTGGAAACAATGGTTTCCAAACATCCAAATGCATGCCATCTGTTCCAAAGCACCTGCTGGGGGGCCCTGGGAAGGGCCTAGCATGCAGTGTCCAGTGCCCTGTACTAGAAGGTGACATTGGGAAGGGATACTTTAATGGCTGGCTAATCCAATTTCCTCTGTTCCATTAATGGACAAGCTGAGGCTCAGAGAGGGGATGTATCTTTCCCCCAGTCCTGTCAGGGACAGGACCAGAAGTCAGTTCTCTTGTGTCCCTGTCCAAGGTCTCATCACCAAAGCCATCCAGCAGCTCTGGAGCTGAAACCCCGTGGGAGAGTCAGATCCCAGGAGTCATCTGTAGACAAGATGAAGCCCACAAACCAAAGGCCCCCCCCCAAGGTGTGGCAGGTACAGCCTCGTACCTGCAGTGACAGTGTGACGGTGAGGGTCCCAAAGAAGAGGGCCATGAGCAGGAAGCCTCCGATGAGGAGGGGTCTTCGCCCCAGGCGCTCGATAACCAAGCCCTGGTCCAAGGTAAAAGAGAGAGAAAAAGAGAGCAAATTATTATTCCACTTCTAGCAGGAAGCACAGGTGATGGAGAACCAGCAGTGGGGTCATGGTTCAAGGCTGGACTTGACACTTGGTAGCCTGGCCACTAGCCACTTTCTTCACAGCTACAGTCAGAGAAACAATGATCAGGGAAAGAAAAAAAGGAGGGAGGAAATCCCAAACTTGAGCACCTGCTGTGTGTCAGCACGTCCTCTCTCCTCTTCTCTCCCAGGTCAGAGTGGCTCCCTGCTAGTAAGTATGGAAGAAGGAACTGGAAGGACGTGGTCATGCCAGCCCTTCCCTCTGCTGCAGATTCAACTTCTCTGAGCCTCGGTGGCAAAGTTTCGTGTGGCAGACACATGAGGCTGGGTGCATGGCAGGAATGGTGAAGAAGGTTCTGAAGTTTTCCACTGTGCTCACATCTGTAGGGTCAAGTTCATCCCAGTGTGTGATACAGGGAGGCCTGGTTTAACCTCATCCTCCTATCCAGGTTCCTGCAGCTGCAGGACTGTCATTGACCTTCTCTGGCTGGCCCCTCTGTCTATGCCCTGGTTGGGTAGGAGCACAGCCCCTTCATTGAGCTCCTTCAAGGGACAGTGACCCCCAAAACTAGTGATGGCCACCAAGTTTCAGAGACAGGCAGACTTGGGTTTATATTCCGGCTCTACCACTTTCCAGATATACGGACTCTGTGTGTGAATTCACTTGCCAAAGCCACTGGGACCTTTACTGCAAAAGGAAAGGAGAAGCAAAATATCCTCCACCAAGGATGTCTGGAGGGCTGGGTGGGTAAAAAGAGGCTGCAGGCAGCACACACATCGATTATGTCAGATGCCTTCCCTTTCCCTCCCTACTATTTCACAAGAGAATATTAAGGACCAGAGATGAAGTAACTCAGCAGATGTCACACAGCCAGTGAGCAAGACAGCCAGGAATTGAACCCAGGAAGCTCTTTACCAAAATTCATGGTTTTTCTCACTGAACAACCAGGCAAGGCTTTTTGAAGTTGGGGGCGGGGTGGGGATCTGGGCAGGGGGAGAAGCAGGAACAAAGACTTGATGTGGGAAGGTCCCCACCAGGGACCGTCTGGGGACAAGGGGAACAGTGACACTGCTGAAGGCCATGTAGCTGGAACCTGTGAGCCTCAAGCTTCAGGTAATGGTTCAAAAGCCAGAACACTAGAGAAACAGCGAAACAGCGACAACCTGGTAAAGTCGGGATAGGGATTTTACAAGTGTGTGTGTGTGTGTGTGTGTGTACCATGGAGCCTTGCTTCAGGACTCCAGTGTCCCTTGGTGTTTCCTCTTTCACAAGAGAGTCCTGCTCACAAGAGGGTGGGTGATGGAAAACTGCCTGGGAAACGGGAGTTCTCCCCTGAGCTGAGCAGAGCTGAGCCAAGCATGGCTGTCCTGCTTGGCAGAGTGGGCACTGAGGGTGAGTGGCAGCTGCCAGTATGAAGGATATAGCCAGTCTGGGTTCCTGCAGGTCAGCCAAGAGCCCAGATCACCAGGCCATTTGGTGCTGCCTGGGGCCAAGGACCTGCCGTCACCACGATATGACACTGAGGGGCATGAGTGGGGATTGGCAGGAAAGCAGGCTGTGGATGGATACACTTTTGAGAGGCATCCAGGACTCTCAGGCTATAATTTCAGGTGAAGAGAACAGAACATAAAACCATATATTCTTCTATATGCAGTTACATAAATTACATTGTTAATTGTATTAGGCTACTATGTCCTAGAAGAAGGTATGCAGAACTAATTTGTAATCGTTAACTCTATATGGGAGTTAATAATAATTGTGACAATCGTTTTTGCTTATTCTTCAGTTTTCTAAGTTGAGCTTTTTTTTTACTTAAAAATGTAAAAAGACTAAAAAACAGATAGTTTGCAGGGCTGCAAATCTCTGTTCACTGAGTCATAACTGTTTCTTCTTCTCCTGTCACCAATTATTTCCAATATCCATACCAGTAAATTTCCATAGCCACAAAAAATAAGTCTTTACTACAATCCGAGGATAGCATAACCATTCTGTGGCCAACAGCGCGGGACCAATGACAAATGGGAAATAAAATCGAAGGCTGTTCATACACTGGAGCTTTGCCTCAGAAGCATCTTGGAGTAGTTGGGTGAGTGTCCCCTGTGGCATGGCGCTGAAGTCAGTACAGCAATGATCAGCAATGAGCATCAGTCACTAGGAGACACTATCACAGGAATACCAAGAGGGTTACATTGCTAGGCTGATGTTAACAAGAATCATGGTTACACTGAGAATAACAATAATAACGAGTACTATATTGTTACATGAAGATAACTGTGTTACATCATTACACTGAGAGGTAACAATGTATGACACTGCTACACTGAAGTTAACAAACACTGCTTATTGGTTTCCAGGTTTTGAGGGCTTTTTAGTTTCTTCAGCTGGGGGTAGAGCTCAGTGGTAGAGCACTTGCCTAGCATGTGTGAGGGGGACAGGAACCGTTTCTTCAAGCAAGTCACCCACTATTTCAGTGTTTGAAAGTGTGCCCCAAACACAAACAAGTTAAGAACCATTATTTTACAGCATGTTGTTAATATTAAAAGGCTTTGCTGGTGGAGGGGGGATCTGGTTTTTTCTTTAACTTCCCTGAAGTCGCTGGACGAACCTGTCACCTGGGCCAAAGTGTAGCTGGGCAGATGCTCCCTGATTCGGAAGTGAACTCTAAAAGGTGGTACAGCAGACTCTGAGGAAGCAGAAGGAAGGGATGAAGCAGCCCTTGGTGTGCCAGCTCCTGTCTCCTGCTTCTCTCCTTTAACCCCGTTACAGTGCAGACGTCAAAAGTGATTAGAGCGACCACAGTGTTCACTCAACGCTGAAGTTCTCGGTGAAGACAGTAACTCAAAATGAACAGCTTTTGAAGGTTTCTGATATCAGCTGGGGACTGACTATCAGAGTCCCAATGCTCCCAAGAGGCCTCTCTGTGCACTCCTGAACCATGGGGTCATTCAGCCACTGCTCCTCCCCAAAGTGCTGGACCCTCTAGTGGAATAAGAATGATAAACTTTTTTGTTGTTGTTCTAGTTAGGTTTTAAAAGATGAAGTTTTTGTGTTGGCTCACACTTGTAATCCTAGCTATTTGGGAATTGGAGATCAAGAGGATCATAGTTCCAGGCCAGCAGGGGCAAAAAAAAAAAAAAAAAATTGTGAGAGCCCCACACCAAGCTGGGCATGGTGGTGCACGCCTACCATTCAGCTACTGCGGGAAGCATAAAGTGGGAGGATCGTAGCTCAGGCTGGCCTGGGAAAAAAGCCAGACCCTATCTCCAAAATAAGCAAAGTAATAGTGTTGGAGGTATGGCTTAATCAGTAGAGTGTCTGCCCAGCAAGCACGTAAGCCCTGAGTTCAAATCCCAGCTCTGTACACCCTCCCAAAAAGAATCAGCTTTATTGAGGTTTAGCTTTTGTTCAATAAAATGTATCCATCTTAATTGTTACTATTTGATATGTTTTTGACAAATTTATATTCCCATAACCACAGCTACAGTTACGATCTAGAACATTTCCATCACTCCAAACAATTCCTTCATGTCCCTCCCCTCAGCCCGGCAACCATTGGCGCTGGTGTTAGTTTTGCCATTCCTAGAGCTTCTGTCACTCATTGAGATGTTTTTGAGATTCATCCTTGTGGCGAAAGTTATCAAAGGTCCCTTTCGTTGCTGAGCGGTATTTCACTGCAGGAATGTACACGACTTGCTTCTGCATTCGTCTGTGGATGGACACTGGCTGGTCTCCAGTTTTGCCTTTGATAAAGGAGGCCATTGAGAATGTCAGCATGAGTCTCTCAGACAAGAGATTTGCCTTCCCATGGGCAAACGCTTACGAGTGGACTGTCTGTGTTTAATGGGTAAAAGTCTTATAAGCAATGGCCAAAATGTCTTCCAGGGGGGTTGTACCATGTTAAACTCCCCCCCTCCCCAGCAGTTCCTGAAAGTTCCATTGCTCCCATCCTCAACAATGCTCAGCATTGTCAGCTGCTTAAATTTTGGTCAGCCTGGTGGCATCTCTCTGTGGGTTTTAGTTGTTCTTCCCTGATGATCAAACTATCTGTTTGAATTTTTTGACCATTTTCTAGAGAGTAGTTAGTTTCCTTGTTGAATTCTAAGCATTTTTTCCATGTTCTGAGTTCAAGTTCTCTGCCAGACATGCGTTTTATGTATTCTCCCAGCCTGTGGCTTGCTTTTTCATTTTCTTAACAATGTCTTTTAAATAATCACAGCTTAAAATTTTGATGAAATCCAATTTAAAAATCTGGTTCATGATTCTGTATCTTATTTCAAAAAAAAAATCTATGCCTATCAATTCTGCAAACCTTTCTTCTACATTCCCTTCTCGAAGTTTTATAGGTTTAGTTTTTGTGTTTAGATGCATGGCCCATTTGGAGGTAATTTTTAAATATAGCATGATACGGGCTGCTATTCATGTTTTCCATATGAATCATCTCAGTTTTATGGCAGTATTTCCTGAAAATATTTTCCTTTCCCCATCAGATTACTTTGGCGACTTTGGTTTTCTACACTCTCTTCTGTTCCATTCATCTGTTTCACTGTCCTTTTATCAGTACCGTGCTGTACTGATTACTGTGTTGTAAACGTTGATCGATCACTCACTACGAACCAGGCGTAGTTCCAGACACCTTGCACATAGTGATAATTTAATCCTTATAACGTCCTCATGGAGTGGGGGCTATTACCATCCCCTCTTATATTCAAGACTTGAGGCTCAGAGAGGTTTAGCAGCCTGGGAGAGGTCACACGGTAGAGGTCAGGATTCTAGCTCAGCTAGCCTGTGCTCCACTGCTCCTCTGCACCCACCATCCCTGAAACAGATGTGAGTAGGCTTAGCAAGAGTATGCACATGGCCTCAAAGCCTTCCTTCCCCATCTGAGTGAGCTGCTGTGGTTGTTGGGGACTCCAATGGTCAGGCCCTGGCACTG